AGTAACCACAGTCATTGGCAATTTCATTCATTCACATTCACACATGTCTGCTTCTCAATCAGAACTGCTGGTGTTGCAGAGAGTACACAGGCAAGAAGATAGCAATGTGCTTCCTCCACAGTGTCCAAAGAAATGATCTCCTCTTAAAAACTAACAAATAAAGAAAGCACACTGAGTGCAACAAACACTGTGTATCCAGGCTGCACACACATAAAGGTGTGGATGCAGCAACAAACCAGCACAGAGCAGAACCTTAAAAAGGATACCATGTCCATCAACAGACATAGACCACTCTATCTTGTAAAGGTGTACAGGCATTGGAAACTCTGAAAGAAATGGATGATTTTTCTGGATAGGTACTCCATACAAAAGTAAAATCAAGACCAGATAAACTATTTAAATAGACCAATAACCACTAAGGAAATAGAAATGGTCATTAAATGTCTCCCAACCAAAAAAAGCCCATGACCAGATGGTTTCAGTGCAGAATTCTACCAGATTTTCAAAGAAGAGCTAATACGAATACTCTTCAAATTGTTCCACACAAATACAAACAGAAGGAACATTACCAAATTCTTTTTATGAGGCTACAGTACCCTATATCCAAACCACACAAAGATGAAACAAAGAAAGAGAATTACAGATCAATTTCCCTCATGAACATCGATGCAAAAATACCCAATAAAATACTGGCTAACCGATTCTAGGAACACATCAAAAAAATTATCCACCATGACCAAGAAGGCTTCATCCCAGGGATGCAAGGATGGTTAAACATATGAAACTCTGTCAATGTAATACACCATATAAACAAACTGAAAGAAAAAAAGTCACACGATCATCTCATTGGATGCTGAAAAAGCCTTTGACAAAGTCCAACACCCCTTCATGATAAAGGTTCTAGGGTGACAAGGAATACAAGGAACATACCTAAACATGATAAAGGCAATTTACAGCAAGACAACAGCCAACATCAAATTAAATGGAGAGAAACTCAAAATGATTCCACTAAAATCAGGAACAAGCAAGGCTGTCCATTCTCCCCATACTTATTCAACATAGTACTTGAAGTTCTAGCTAGAGCAATAAGACAACAAAAGGAGATCAAGGGGATACAAATTAGAAGGGAAGAAGTCAAATTTTCATTATTTGCAGATGATATGATAGTATATATAAGTGACCCCCAAAATTCTACCAGGGAACTCCTACAGCTGATAAACTCCTTCAGTAATGTGTCAGGATACAAGATTAACTAAAAAAAAATCAGTAGCCCTCCTATATACAAACAACAAACAGGCTGAGGAAGAAATCAGAGAAACATCACCCTTTACAATAGCCACAAATAATATAAAATACCTTGGAGAAACTCTAACTAAGCAAGTAAAAGGCCTGTGTGATAAGAACTTTAAGTCTCTGAAGAAAGAAATTGAAGAAGATATCAGAAAATGTAAAGGTCTCCCATGCTTATGAATAGGTAGAATTAACATAGTAAAAATGGCAATCTTACCAAAAGCAATCTACAGATTCAATGCAATCCCCATCAAAATCCCAACACAATTCTTCACAGACTTGGAGAGAATAATATTTAACTTTATATGGAAAAACAAAAAACCTAGGATAGCTAAAAGAATCCTGTACAATAAAGCAACCTCTGGAGACATCATAATCCCTGACCTCAAGCTCTACGATAGAACTATAGTAATAAAAACAGCTTGGTACTGGTATAAATACCAACATCTGAACCAATGGAATTTAACTGAAGACCTGACATTAATCCACACACCTATTAACATATAATTTTCATCAAAGAAGCCAAAACTGTAAAATGGAAAAAAGAAAGCATCTTCAACAAATGGAGCTGGCATACCTGGATGTCAACATGCAGAAGATTGCAAATTGATCCATGTCGTCACCATGCACAAAACTCAAGTCCATGTGGATCAAAGACATCAACATAAATCCAGTCACACTGAACTTGATTGAAGAGAAAGTACGAAGTAGTCTGGAATGAATTGGCACAGGAGACCACTTCCTAAATATAACACCAGTAGCACAGACACTGAAACAATTAATAAATGGGACCTCCTGAAACTGAGAAGCTTTTGTAGAGCAAAGGACATGGTCAATAAGACAAAATGACAGCGTACAGAATGGGAAAAGATCTTCACCAACCCTACATCTGACATAGGGCTGATCTCCAAAATATCTAAAGAACTCAAAAAGCTAGATTTCAAAATACTGAACAATCCAATTAAAAAATGGGCTACAGAGCTTAACAGAGAATCTCAAATGGCTGAAAGACATTTAAGGAATTGCTCAACATCCTTAGTCATCAGGGAAATGAAAATCAAAACAACTTTGAGATACCATCTTAGACCTGTCAGAATGGCTAAGATCAAAAACATCGGCCCCCTGAATGGGTGAGACAGTCTTTTGGCTTGATCTGTTTGGGAGGCAGCTGTGCATTGGTGCCGGGTCCTGAGCTCGTTGCATGAGTTGGCTGTTTGAATCCTGGGACTTATGCAGGGACGCTTGGCTTGGTCTGGGAGGGCGGGGACTGGACCTGCCTGGACTGAGTCTACCAGGTCGACCCCGGTCCTCGGGGGAGACCTTGATCTGGAGGGGAGGGGGAGGGGGAGGGGAGCGAGAGGGGGAGAACAGGGGAATCTGTGGCTATTATCTTGAACTGAATGGTGTTGTAAAATAAATTTTAAAAATATGGTTTAAAAAAAAAAACCGAAGATAGCTTATGTTGGAGAGGATGTGGAGCAAAGGGGAACACTCCTCCACTGTTGGTGGGAATGCAAACTTGTACAGCCAGTCTGGAAATCAGTATGGCGGTTTCTCAGAAAATTGGGAATAAGTCTTCCTCAAGACCCAGTTATACCACACTTGTGCATAAACCCAAGGAATTCTCAATCTTACCACAAGGACACATGCTCAACTATGTTCATATCAGCAGTATTTGTAATAGCCAGAACCTGGAAACAACCTAGATGTCCCTCTACTGAAGAATGGATTAAAAAAAAAAAAAAAACGTGGCACATCTACACAATGGAGTACTACTCAGCAGTAAAAAACAATGACATCGTGAAATTTGCAGGTTAATGGATGGAACTAGAAAATATCATCTTGAGTGAGGTAACCCAGACTCAGAAGGACAAACATAGTATGTACTCACTCATAAGTGGATACTAAATATGAGGGAAGAGATGGTCAGACTGGAACCCACAACCCAAGAGAGGTTAGCTAACAGGAAAAGACCCTAGGAGGGACCCTGCGAAGGAGAAGTGGATGAGATCCACATGAGCAGACTGGGTGTGGTGGGGGTGGCAGAGAGCAAGGAGTAGGGGATGAGAACATAGGGAAATGGAAGGGTCAAGCTGGAACAGGGACAAAGTGGGAGGGCAGGGAGGAAGATACCATGATAGATGAAGACATCATGGGAATAGGAAGAGGCAGGGTGCTGGGGAGGCTCTCAGGAATCCACAAGGTTGACCCCAACTTGGTCTGCTGGCAGTGGTCCAGAGGGTGCCTGGACCAGTTTACTCTGGTGACCAGCCTAGCAAATAACCCAGCTGTTATCATAGAGCCTTTGTCCAGTGACTGATGGAGGCAGATACAGAGATTTATGGCCAGGCACCAGGTTGAGCGCCGGGAATCCAATTGATGAGAGAGAGGAGAGATTCTGCAGGTGAGTGACATCAAGATCATGATGGGAGGATGTGCAGAGATGACAGGCCACACTAGTGGAAGCCCATGAACTGTGGACTGGTGGCTATGGAGCCCCCATCGGACTGGAGTAGGCCCTCTGGATATGGAAGATGATTGTTTGGCTCGAACTGTTTGGGGGGCACCCAGGAAGGGTGATTGGGATCTGTCCCTGGTTTATGGGCAGGCTTCTGGGAATCCGGTGCCTGAGGTGTGATGCCTTGAACAGCCTTGGTTCAGTGGGAAGGGGCTTGGACCTGCCTAGGCTCCCTGTGCTGGGCTCTGCTGACTCCCCATGGAAGAACTCAATTTGGGGGATGTGGGGATGTGGTATGGCTTGGGAAAGAGGGCTGGGGTATGGGAGGAGGGAGGAGGGAGGAGGGAGGAGGGAGGATCTGTGGATAGTATGTGGAATGAGTAGAAATTTTCTTAATAAAGAAAAATGAAAAAAAAAGAATAGCATGTTTGATTAAATAGACCATTACATAGGACTCTTCATTCTGGGAAATTAAGAATAAGAATAACATGTTTGTAGTTTCAGAGTGTCAGTAATATACCTTATATATCTTATTTATTATGAACTCTCAGAAAGAATAAATGTATACATATATGTATATTTACATATATTCATGTGCATGAGTATATATGTGTAGTTGTGTATATATCCTTATATATAAATTCATATACATATATAAGGAATTATACTTTTATTTGCCTTAAGTAGGCTTTATATTATGAAAGACAAACAGTAGTCCATAAATCAATTGCCTATAACTGCTAACAATATAGTGATTTCCTAGGGCATAACTCAGAAAGACTAAATGCTATTGCTTGTTATACATGAAGGAACAGTGTCATAGATGGTTCTGTTTTTGAGATATTAGGTAAGAGGTGTAAAACCTTTACATGTACAAAACTGTCTATACAAATGGAGTAAAGCCTTCAAAATTGCATATATGTTGTTCTAATGAGAAATTTAAGGGATTTGCAATATGTACATCCCTTTCAAGTTTATGCAAGTACTTTTGGTGTTTTTTTTTTCTGGTGATCTGTATAACATAACATTGTAAATAATTTTCAATGTAATTATTGTTAATAGAATTTGATTTATGTACATCACTAAATCCTATTGAAATTGATAACTTTCATATATCCTTTATGTTTTTCCTCTTTTTAACAGATCTTGCCTCAAGCTTATTTGTAAAAACAGCATAGGGCCCTGATCAACTGCAAATAGTGTGTGTGTCACACCATTCATCTGTCTTCACATTGGGAGACAGAAACCTTTTCTATGGGGCCTTCCAAAGAGCCTGGGCACCTTTGGGAGCCTGAGCTGGAGCTGAGGCCTCTTCCTTGGTCTGAGCCTTGGGCTTTGGGTGGCAGAGCCTACGAGCCTTGACAATGTTGCTACTAATCCACTTCCCAAGCTTGGGATGAGCAATGAAAGCAAGACGGCTGAGTTTGCTGTTGAGTCCTTTGGCATCTTCGGCTTCACAGGGGCTTTGATGGCCTCTGCACATGCGCTCACTGTCTTTGCATTGTTTGCCTGCATCCTCTTCAGGTGTTGTGCTTCTTCTCAAACAGCCTGCTCCTCGAGAACTTGAGGTCGACCCCCTTAAGAGATTCCTGTATTTGTGATGGGGCTTTTTGATGCCAATTCTGTGCCATTTTGGGGATTGGTTGTGTGTGCTGTGATTCTTGGAATTGGCCATGTCAGAACGGTAACTGGCGGCTCATACACCACCTGGGACCCGAAGAGAAAGAGCCCCTTTATATTTTTCTAATGTTTGTTTCACAAAATCAAATTACTTAACTTCTTCATGTTCACAATCACAAAAGTCAGGGATGAGGGAGGATCTGTGGTTGGTATGTGGAATGAATAAAATTTTTCTTAATAACATAAAAAAGTCATACTTCTACTGCACGGCCTCATTATGTTATTTTTAAATACTTACATTCAACATATCACATTATGTACATGTGTGCACCTGCTGGTGCTTATTTGAGCTCTCACTATTAATATTACATGAGTTTATATTATTTATGATACATATTAGTACAGTAATTTTAATGCAACTTTACACTTTGTACTTTTTTGTTTCAAGAAACCATCCTTGTTGTTAACTACAGAAATCCAAATGTTAGTAACTGGAAATGTCAAATCTGTTCATATAATAATTTAACAATAATGATGTCAAAAGTAAGAGTGAAAGCAATGGATGAAAATTAAGATTCATTTCCTGGCTTCTATTTTTAAAATATACTAATTGCAGTCAAAATAATCAAAGACTGCTTCCTGCTTATCTGAAATAAAAGTTCCTGTTTTGATTGGCATGCTAGGCATAGTGACAGTATGACAAAGATACATAAAATCTAAAACTAAGCTCTTCTTAATATATTTCCTCATTTTTTAAGAGATCAGTTTTATATAAAAATTTTAACTTTTAACCTCAATATTCTAAGAGTCTTTTAGCTACTGGTATAGTCTTAACAAAGAGTGGGTGACTGGGGACAAACGTGTGATGCGAGAAGCACCCGACATACAAATAATAAACAAACAAACTTTAAACAGAATAAGGGAGAACTTCATTTGTGCAATGAAATTTTCACTGTTTATGTATTGCTGCTGTTGTCTGTTTGAGGCAGGGTCACATAGAGTCCAGACTGGATGTAAATTCCCTATACAGCTAAGGGTTATTTTGAATCCCTGATCCTCCTGCATCCACCTCCAAGTTCTGGGATTCCAGGTCAGTGTAACATGCCCAACTATTTTCTCTTTAAAACAATTATATTGGATCTTATCAATACACATTTAAAGCCATATAACCAATTGCTTAAAATTTATTCACAGTATCACAATACAATTTATCATTTATTGCCTGTAAAATAATTCCCATTGCTTGGAAGGCATCTTGGGAAAAGCATCATGCTTGTATCTTCCCCAGTGATTCAAGAGAATGTTTTCTGAAGTGCAGGTTTGTTCATGCACTAGAGAGACAATATTTTCAGGAGAAGGGTGTATGGTCTTGGTTAAACATTAAGGTAATTAGCATTTCTTCATTCTCCTAAAAGGAGCACTCCATCACCTTCAAATTCCATGTTAGCTTGTGATTGTAGTCATTGTCCAGACTACAGAAAGCCATACACTGGAGAAAGCCCTGAATGTCTAGAGTACAGTACAGTGCCTTTTAACATGGTGCAGTCCATGCTCTGCTCCCAGAAAATGGTCTTATTATTCTGGTAATTGTGTTATTGTCTTGTCTGTGTAAGAAGCCATGTTTCTTTAATCCTGGTATAAGTAAGTGTGTAAAAAATTGTATGTGTGAAATACTAGTGAAGTAGAATTAATTTTAATTCCACACTGTAGCATTTGTTGTGAATCCTCAAGAAGTTATCATTAAAAGTATGTTTTCAGTGTGTGTATGTGTGTGTTTACATACACACACATGTATAATAGTACAATAGGGTACTATTTCAAATTAGACTATCATTTAGGAAATAGTAAATATGACTATTACTTTTGTTCTTTTTGAGGACGAAAAGTTATGTTGACTATAATACTTATCAATACAATGATATTCACAATGGAAGACAAAATGTTAGATGAAATTCAATGTTATAGACTATAAAATATAAACTTAAAATGCATGTTTTATATTCCACTTGAAAGAAGGAGGTTATAACCTATTTTCCCATGACTAGACACATCATAATTTTTGAAAATAATTATCCAAAATATTTTGAGGATTTGGATCATGGTAAATATTTTATAAGCCAATAGTGGGAAGTTGGATTTATTGTGTTAGACTTCTTGAAGCATACTAACTTTTCTGGTAAATATAAACTAACCTAAAGTAAAACAAAATAATAGTTAAGGCACAGGAAAGCACACGTACAGTGGCCATGACATCCTTTTTCTTATTTAAACTCAACCTATTTGGGATCTAGGACTGGTAAGGGTTGCTCTAAAATTCTGGAAACACCTATAGGTAGTTGTTTCCAGACTTTACTGGTCATCTTAATGATATTAATAGATACATTCTATACATACTACAGTATAGCACAAATGTGAGACACCGAGATGAGAACTGCAAGAACATCATTTGTATCCCATGAAAGGTTAAATTATACAGCATTGATTTAGAGATATGACTATTTATTTTCAGGAAGGTTTGTCAAATCATCAGTTTGTGTAGCCTTACTCTATCTAATGTTGTCCTTAAGAATCATCATTTGTTGAAATACTGTCTCCATAGCACCAAAATATCCAATTAAGTAACCATTAATTAATAGCTTAATCTAATTAATAAAGTAAGTTCACAAATAAAGAACTATTCAAATAATATTGAAATATTTTTAAATGTGTTTGTTGTTTATTTTAGAAGTGTTTTCAAGAAACTAATGAAGTCATGAGCAATGAATTACATTAACAACCTTCAAGTATTGAATTATTAGAACCTTTCCTGGATACACAGATCATGTATTGTGACTTTGAATCAATTATCTCCCCATCTCAGGTTTAAACTTTATAAATTTGTAAAGAAAATGGATGTCCCTGCATTAACTTGTTTACATGTATCTTATTTCTTAAGACAAAATCTTGAGCCAATTAATGCTCACATGCACATTTATTATAAAGAAGAAAATGCAAAATTAGAGTTGGCCGTAAGTCAAGTGTCTATATAGCATAATTAAACAAAAATAGGTTGAAGGTTGTATCATTTTCTTCATATTTACTTTCTTCATATGAGATGTTTTCATAGTCCATGTTCACATGGAAATGAGCAGCTCAGAACATATTTATCTTCTTGATATCAATCTACTTCTAGATAAAAATAAAAATAATACAAAACACAAGTAGAATTTCTTGAAATAACTGACAATTACTTCTTAGATCAGAGTAAAATTATAGATAAAGTATCAACCTGTGTGTTATTTTGAATGAAAATTACTCCCATAGGCCCATAGTGAGTGGCACTATCTAGGAGTCTGGCCTTGTTTGAGTAGGCGTGGCCTTATTGGAGGAAGGGTGTCACTGGGGGTGGGCTTTGATGTCTCAGATGCTCAAGCCAGGCTCGGTGTTTCACTTTCTTCCTTCTGCTTGTGATCTGGATGCAGAACTTTCAGCTACCTCTTCAGCACCATGTCTGCCTGGGTGCCAAAAATGTTCGCTCTGTGATGAAAATGAACTAAACCTCCTCACTGTATGTCAGTCGCAATTAAATGTTTCCTTTATAAGAATTGCCTTGGTCATGGTGTCTCTTCATAGCAATAGAAACCATAACTACGACAACCCACAAATATAACTATAGAATATGAACTGAACAAGAAATAAACCAATAAACATGTAAATGTACATGCAGGAAAGTTGAAGAGATCTCAAGTATACATAAAGCACTGCACATAACTAATGAACACTGAAAATGGGTAATTGACTTACCCGGGGAACATCACACACACTACACTAGTCATTCAATACCAAGTGGTCAGCCCTAGCAACCTATATTATGTTCATATATTTTATTCATATATATTGAACATGTATATTCAACAATTATTGGAAAAAACATTAATTAAAAAGAGAACATGGGGGGTGTTTATGGGAGCATTCAGAGTGAGGAAAGGGTCCGTGGTTGCCACCTCAGTCTCTTTGAGACCCTTTGAGCCTTCCTTAGTTGATTCTGTGGGCTGTGTTCTTGCAGTGTCCTCAAGCTTTCTGGCTCCTGCAATCCTTCCTTCACCTCTTCTGTGGAGTTCTTCAAGTTTTGACTAATATTTGGGTGTAGGTCTCTACATTTGCTCCCATCAATTGATAGATGAAGTTTCTGATGATAGTTGGGCTAGCCGTTGGTCTATGAATACAGCAGAGTATCATTAGGAATTACTTCATTTATCTTTTTTCCCTTTGACCAGTCATGTTTGGTTCTGTCCTAGGTCTCTGGGCTTATCCAGAATCTGGTTTCCAGTCTTCCAGGCAATGACAGGTATGGGCTCCCCAAATGGTTTGGATGTCTATTTAGAGCAGTCTTTTGTCTTTTCTGAAAGGAAATGAGGAGGAGAAGTGAATCTGAGGGAGAGAAGAGGTGGGAGCATGAGGTACTGGGAAAAGTGGAGGTAGGGGAAAGTGTGGTTAGGGTGTAATATATGAGAGAAGGATAATTACATAAATAAAAGAAAAAAGAGGAAGAAAGTGAAGGGAAAATAATTACAATCTCAAAATTAAAAGAACAATTATTTTAGAAAAAGTAAAAGAGCATAAGCTGATGGATCAGAAAGAATTAACTCAGATAGCCTCTGGAAATGTTGGGTGCAAATACGTGCTACAAAGAAGTGCCATGGGATCTACAAATCTGTAAGCAAGGTGATCTCACAATAAATAATAATAATAATAATAATAATAATAATAATAGTGACTCCTCTCAGTTGGAGGTGGAGAAGGGGATTTTGTGAGAATACCCAAAGACTTTACAGACAAAACAATAAAAAAGGCAGACATGTGCAGAAAGAGAAGTTATATTTCAGTTAATAAACAAGCAAAGAAGGCTATATTTGTATTAGAAATCTCTTCAAAAGGTGAGAATTAAGGTAATTAATTTAAAGATAACTTTATACAAAGGCAAACCTAACTAAGGTTGAATACAATATTTTAAAAAAATCACTGATTATAAATGCTGCTAACAATTATTATCATTGGTATAGTGATAACATACCT